TAGGCATTATATTTATTTTAGCAGATTGTTGTACTGATTAGTATATACCTAGCCCAGTGGTCCGCAAACTCATTAGCTCTATTTATATGTGTGCATTACATACATATCTAGAATAATGTATACCTAATAATATTAGAATTATTTAAGAGTGGTAGGATTTTGGTTGATTTTTTAAAACTTATATTTGTACCTTTCTATATTGATGGAATTTTTTAAAAGTGCAGGTATCATTTCTATAAGAACATTATTAAATAAAGGGAGGTTTGTTTTTTGCATTATTTATAGGGAGAATTCTGGATTTTTAGTACATAATCCAAAAGTTGCCAAGTAATCATCACTACCATTAACTTGCAATCAAGAAATGAGTACTGTACTGCTCTGTTTGCCTTTAGGTTTATGTTGATTTATACAATATCCTTGTAGAGACAGTGAGTGCAGTCCAAGTATCAACAGTACAACGATTGAAATTTCTTTTGAGAGCCAAATTTTTTAAACTTAAACTATATAGGTAGGTACATTGTTATTAACTTAATGAGGGTACTCCTAAGGCTTAGGAAGAGCCACACTCAAGGGTCCAAAGAGCTGCATGTGGCTCGCGAGCCGCAGTTTGCCGACCACCAACCTAGCCCATTGCCCAGAAACCAAGGTCTGTTCAAAAGAGAACAGCTATTATTATTATTTTAAAAGTACAGATTGTACTAATAAATGTACCACAGCATGGATGGACCTGGAGAACAATATACGTTATGCTAAGTGAAATAAGCCAGTCAAAGAAAGCAAATACCATATAATTTTATTCATATCTGCAACAATGAACAAACAACTACCAAGCAAAACAGACAGATTCATCGAGAGCAAGCAGACAACTCTGTGGGAAGGGGGTCAATGTTTTGGGGGAGAGGGTGAGCTAAAAAGAACTCATGGATATGGACAACAGTGTGGTGATTCTAGGTGGTCGGAGATAGGGCTGGGTGAGGGTGAGGGTGGTGGAGGTGGAAGAGGGCAGAGAAGGGATTAATGGTTATAGAAAGAAGATAGTACAGATTGTATTTGTATAATACATGTCTTTCTTAATGTCTTTTTTGAAGTCATCAGTATGTTGCACTTCTATTTAAGTATCGGTAAATTAAAGTGTTCTAAATGGATTTTCTAGGTTTGAACTTGACCTGGAAGCTGTGCATCACCATAATGAGGCTTGTAATTCTTGATAACTATGACTTGGCTAGTGAATGGGCAGCCAAATACATCTGTAATCGCATCATTCAGTTCAAACCTGGAAAGGACAGATATTTTACACTGGGTTTACCAACAGGTAGTACACCATTTTTTCCCCGTTTTAGAAACTTAAGGTTATGGGATTGAAGGGTTTCCTTTACTAAAATATGTTTGACTGAATCTGTGTTTATTTTCTTCCTATTATATAAATATTATAAAAATTGCATATTGGTATATTTTCATGGCAGGATAAACAACATTTGTTACATATTTTATTGGATTTAGTTCTCTGTTAAGGTTTTCTTTAAAAATAACCAAGCAGTGTCATTGATCTTGTGACACTCTATTTGCTATCGTAGACTTCCACAGGAGAGAGTATTGGACTTGGAATCAGAGCTGCTACTTTCTTGTTACTGCAAGGCATTTGTTCCATATCCCTAAGCCTCGGTTTCCTCACCTTATAGAAAGATAAGGATAATAACAACTTACCATCTGTTTCGGGGCTCAAATAAGCATGCTTGCGCAAGTCCTTGAATACTGTAAATACTAAATAAATTAAAGTTCCTTAAGTGTGTTTTATTTAGACAGTATATTCTCTTCCTGCTCCCCCCCATACATGCCAACTACATAAAAGATACAATCATAATATATTTCCCACTTGTATAATTTCTATGAAAGTTACCCTTTAACTCACCAAGTTGATTTTTCTTTTTTTCACTTTACTTTTTGTTTTTTGGTCCAGTGCAGTAGATCTTGATGAGAATGGCAGAGAGAGATTTTCTAAAATTGTACACACCAGTGTTGGGCCCCTCAGCCATTGCATTTCTGATATGTGAGCCCCAGTGGGTGAACCATGGCTTTTGTATCAGTGTTCATATTGTAAACCTGGGCTACATTCAGGCTAGCTAACTCAATCACTCTGTTTTAATTATGATACAGAAATAAACAGTAATTTGAGTGTGAGGGTAGAAAGGCTTCAGAGTCATAAATGCCAACAGTGCTAAACATGTTTTTGTGTATTTAGATACACAACTTGCACTTTATTTTGGATAGTATACCTGCCTACTAATACATCTGCCCCAGCCCCTGTGTTTTTGAAATTTGAACATATATTTCTGTAATTGCAAGTAACACGATGTATTGTAATTATCCTCCAAGGAAGCATAATTTCTGAAGTATCTCTGCTCAATATGTATTTATTGAAGTGATTTTTAGCAAGCTTGATATTTAAGGGCCTGCATGCCGTGGTGTGGGCCTGACCTACTTTCCTGACTTATTTCCACCATTCCCCTACACTGAATCGTGACCGGCAAATTAGTCTGCTCTTAGTTCAAAGAATAGTCTTGAATGTGCTGGCTTTATTTTTACTCATGTTATATACTAAAAACTCTGGAATCAGAGTCTCTTGAATCTCTGGCTTTACCACCAGGTGATATTTGGCAAATTCTTTAATCATTTTGACCCATTCTTCCCTCTTCATGATGGGAAAGATAATGCCCACGTCCCAAGGTTGTGAGATTTGCATGAGTTAATGTATGAAAACACTAGCATTGCATCTAGCACAAGGTAGGCATAAATGTCATCTCTGAAACTCCTCCCCCATCTTTTTTGTTAATTCTCAATTACAACTTACCCCGTCTCCCTCTGTTGGAATGCTACTCCTCCAAGACTCAGTTGAAACGCCATTTTCTCTGATCTTTCCTCCAACAAGCAAGACTGTAGTTTTCTTGGCTTTACTGTAGTTCTCTGGGTTTCTTATAGGTTATTTATAATATGTTTCCTTGTGTTATGGTTATTTTGTACTTGTCTATCCCTTCTTTTTAGTTCTTCTAGGATAGAAATAGTCTTTTTTAAAAAAATGTTTTTTATTTTTTAGAGAGAGCGGGAGGGAGAGGGATAGAGAGATAGAAACACCATCGATAGGTTGCCTTCTGCATGGCCCCTACTGGGGACTGAACCCGCAATCCAGGCATATGCCCTGACCTGGAATCAAACCAGTGACTTCTTGGTTCATGGGTAGGTGCTCAACCATTGAGCAACACCAGCCAGGTTAGGATAGAAGTAGTCGTAATCTTTGTTTTATCAGAATTATAGTAAGCACTTGCTAAAAGTTATGTTAGTAAATGAGTAAAGCAAATAATAAAATGAATTTTATTTCATCAATATACCCTGTACTGTATCTTTCAGCCACTTTGATGAAAACAGAAAATGTATGTTTTTTGTTATCACCATTGTGACAACTTCTCACCTTTTTATTTATATATCCTTAAATTAAGGAGAGATTTCTATAACTATTCCCTTAACAATGAAAGATAGAATATTTATGCTTTTAGAAGGAAAAAGAAAAAAACATATTCATTCCTTTTTTAGTCAGGTTTTATATTTGTAGGCTATAAATCTTTGAGAAGGAATTGTAAAATTTGACCACATAAATTTTAAATTATTAATTTTATTTTAAAACAATATGTATGCTTAACTTTAGGAAAATCTAATAGTCTTCTATTCTCTGAATAGTCTTCTATTCTCTGAATCTGTTATTATTTATTGGCACTTCTATTATTGTCATCTCAACTGAGAGACACTTTTTTTAACTATTCTAGAATGTATGTGTGTGTGTGTGTGTGTGTGTGTGTGTGTGTATGTATGTATTATATTATATTATTTTTGCAGAGAGTTCTATCATACATCTGCCTGCCACGTCAGTAGGAATGTTGTGTGCAGGTGTTTTGTTTAGTGATGATGGGAGGACCAAGGTGCTTGCTCTAAGAATGCAGGCAATCCAATCTCCCGGTTAGTAGTTGAGATGACAAACCAGAGCAGATTCAGAAAACAAAGGGAAGCCATCCTCAAGTGGCTAAATTCATTTATCTTTATTGTACCGTATCTTACAGGACTACCTCTTAATTCATAAAACATGTGAAAGAATTACATTTATAAAATAAATCAGGAATTCAGATGAAGTGCCCAAAGCCAAGATCCCATTTCTTAGAAGTCATTTTACATTATACATTTAGTTGATAGATACTGAAGATAACGCATGCTAACAAATGAGAAACAGAAGCTCCAGTTAAAAACTTAAAGGCTAAGGTTCCTTAATCCTGGCCAGTTTCAGAGTCTATTTTGAAAGTAAGGACAATATTTAAATTTATCTTTCATTTTCCTTTTGATTGCAATACTTGGTCAATACTTTCCATTTATGTATCATTTATGCTACAACTCCTCTCAACTTTTTTCTCCAAAGGTAAATTAAGTTAAAAGATTCAGATGTGCTCTCTAAAAGTTTCTAATCTTGGAATGTACATTAATTCCAAATACCTAACAACTCAAGAATAATTTTCTGAACTATATTTTCATTGACAGATTTCCAACTTTATCAGCAAATTCTAGTTTAGTAAAATTTCAAAGTACCTTGAAAAGACTAATTCAACATATTTTAATTGGATACATATTTAAAATAATAACTGTTTGCCTGATAAATAAGAAATATAGGGTAAAGTTATTGTAAATATTTAAATTAGATTTTTATGTTATGTTAGAAAGTGTATTTTTTATCTATTTTAGGGAGTACACCATTAGGATGTTATAAAAAACTAATAGAATATCACAAGAATGGATTCCTTTCTTTTAAATATGTGAAGACCTTTAACATGGACGAATATGTAGGTAAGCTATATTATTTGAATGTATTATTTATATATGTCATATATAGTATATATTAAATAAAATGACTATATTTTGAGAATATTTAATATATTATTTGAAATTTTGTTTTTAATATAGTATGAATATATTTCTAGAATATAATGTATAGCCTTGTGATGAGGTTGGGAGTTTATTATAAACAACTCTATTTTTGCGATAACAGCACAATATGGTAGAAGGAATATGGGACTACAAATCCATAGATCTGTATTCATCTTGGGCTTTACAACTTTGATCTAATCTCGTCATATTTCTCATTCTCTTTTGTATTTTTCCTTAAAGCAAAGTTAAAACCCGTCTTGTGAGGAATAAAGTAATATGTATGTAAAAGTTAGTAAAATAAAGATTTTCTAAGTATAAGGCTATTTATATTTGTAGCTGTAATGCTTTTATAATTTAGTGATTGTTAACTTGCTTCACTAGAAAGATCTGTGATGCATGTAATGCAGGAGCTGCCCCTGGTGGTCAGTGAGCTCCCATGGGGAGCATCACTCAGCCAGAAGCCTGGCTCATGGCTGGTGAGTGCAGCAGCAATGGCTGGAGCCTCTCAGGTCTCTGTGGCAGCACTAAGGACTCCTTGGGGGATGTTCACCTGCCTGCTTAGGCCCACTCCCCTGGGAGCGGGCCTGAGCACTGGGCCTCTAGTTTAAATATAATAAAACACTTTTAATAGTAGCCGGAGTGATAGCCAAAGAACTGTTGTGATTCAATGTACTTTGCAGGCATATAAAAAGAATATAGGAGGAACATGGACCAACATTTTAGTTGTATGGTTAATTAATTTATGTTGATATTAACATATAAATCAATTCCATTAGTTAAAATTTTACATATTTGAGCCCTAGCTGGTTTGACTCAGTGGATAGAGTGTCAGCCTGTGGACTAAAGGGTCCCAGGTTTGATTCCGGTCAAGAGCACATGCCCAGGTTGCAGGCTCGATCTCCAGTGTGGGCAAGCAGGAGGCAGCCAGTCAATAATTCTATCTCATTATTAATGTTTCTATCTCTCCCCTTTCCCTTCCTCTCTGAAATCAATAAAAATATATTTTAAAAAATTTACATATTTGAGAAATGGAGTATAATGGCTAAATGCACATAAAGTAGACTTCCGTGTTTGGATTCCAGCCCTTCTGTGAGCTATGTGACTTTAAGAAAGTTATTTAACTTTTCTGTGCTTCTGTTGTTCATCTATAAAATGGGAGTGATACTATTTCCATAGATATACAAATTAATTGATTTAATAAATGTATGTACAGTGCTTAAAATAATGCCTAGCATATTTTCCACATAAAAATGCTTTAAAATTGAATATGGTATAGAAAGATTATGTATTTTTAGTCGCATTTAGAGCTTAATCAGAAAAATAGATTTTAGATTTATTTCTGAAAATGATTACATTTTTATTTATTAACTTTATATTTAGGACTTCCCCGACAGCATCCTGAAAGCTACCATTCTTACATGTGGAATAACTTTTTTAAGCATATTGATATAGATCCTAATAATGCTCATATCCTTGATGGGAATGCTGCAGATTTACAAGCAGAATGTGATGCATTTGAAGATAAAATAAAAGAAGCTGGAGGAATTGATCTTTTTGTTGGAGGTGTGTAAAGCATTTTGTCATTAATCATTTGTTAATATTTCAGTTAGGTGCTGTGAATTAAAAAAATAAATCTTACCATTGTGTAGGTGTAAAGAACAATTTTGTCTATAACACACATTTATTCAGCTACTGATTTCTATTTTACTTTATTTTCACCAAAAAATAATCTTAAGTTTGCAATTTGAAATTGTTTAAATTACATCCTGAGAAATAGGTCCCAATCCCTGCCAAATTCTTCTAATTACCTCTTCAGAATTAACAGCATACTACATCTTACAAAACAAGTGATGTGCTTCTTTTTCTAAATGATATTCTTATCCTATTTCTTTCATTGCAACCCAGTTTTCTTATCAAATTACAGGGTTAAATCTCTAAAAGTTTGCATGTGGAACAGGTGCATTTTAGCATTTCTGTACTAGTAACTTAAATTACTTTATCTCACTAAGAAATCAATTAAGGATGATGTAAGATTTTATCAGCAGCCTTTAGTTAATATGAATTAAGCAGTATAATCTATATATATAAAAGCCTAAGCGGCCGTTCGACCGTTCACATGATGCACACTGACCACCAGGGGGTAGACAATTAACGACAGATCTTATATGAATACTAGAGGCCCAATGCACGGATTTGTGCACCAGTGGGGTCCCTCGGCCTGGCCTGTGGGGATTGGGCCGAAACTGGCCCGATGCACAGATTGGTGCATCCGTGGGGTCCCTTGGCCTGACCTATGCCCTTTTGCAATCCAGGCTCCCTTGGGGGATGTCTGACTGCCGGTTTCGGCCCAATCCCCCCACCAGGATCATGCACCAGGCCCCAAGTTATCTTAATAAATTACAAAGTGAGTAAATGTTGAATTGATGAAATTCCTCTTGAAATTTATATGTGTGTATATGTTTGTGCATAATTATCATTAAAAATAGGTGGAAGAGTTTCTTCCTTTGTTATGACAGCATAGTTTTCTGTCATCAGTATGAGCATGAGACAGCTAATTCATTACCATTAAAATTGTATGTAACATTAGAATACCATTAACTACACTGAAACTAAAGTAGTTTTTTGGCAGATTCTTTAGTATTCAACTAAACATAGTAAAGTTCTAAATTAATTAAGTACTCTGGATTTATCTTATAATTAATTTATTAGAAGACTGCTGAGAAGTACACAAATTAGATTTTCAGTGGAGCTGTGTGAGGTTAATTTATGGTTGAGGTGGCCAAGTATGGTTGAGGTGGTTAGGTGTCCTTAGGGAAAATTGGGTTTTATAGTCAGAAATAAATTTGCATCCTGTTTTGGCCACTTATCTGTATGACCTTGATAAGTTAATTGCAGTTCAGAATAACTGTCATTTGTAAAACAGTATTAATATTAACAATTGCATAATTTGTGAGAATTAACTGTTAAAACATGTATAAAATGCCTTGCACAGTGGTTGGTATATGGTTGATATTCCATTAAGTGTTAGTTCAGTCTTCTCTCTCTGAACTGGGGATGCTGAAATAATTGTTTCATAATTTACTAAATTCCCTGCCTTTTTACTGAATTGCCTATAAAGGTATCCAGAAAGATTAAAATTGTCTCTTTTTATGGAATTTTTTAAAAATCCTCACCTGAGGTTATTTTTCCATTGGTTTTTAGAGAGAGTGGGAGAGGAAAAGGCAGAGAGAAATATTGGATGTGAGAGAAACACATAGATTGGTTGCCTCTTACATGTGCCCTGCCCAGGGCCCGAGCTGGGGAAGGAGCCTGCAACCGAGTTACATGCCCTTGACAGGAATTGAACCTGGGACCCTTAGGTTCGCAGGCCAACATTTTATCCACTGAGACAAACCTGCTATTTTTATCTCTGCCTAGCAGAACCAATATCAGTTACTTTCCTGTGTAGGTAGAATGGCTTTTATTTGATCAAGAATCCCAAGTTAGACTATTTTGCTTTTCATAGTAGAAAAGTTATCTGTGTGGCCCTAGCCCGTTTGGCTCAGTGGATAGAGCATTGGCCTGGGGACTGAAGGTTCCCAGGTTTAATTCCAGTCAAGGGCACATGCCCAGGCTGCAGGCTCGATCCCCAGTAGGGGGCATGCAGGAGGCAGCCCATCAATGATTCTCTTATCATTGATATTTCTATCTCCCTCTCTCTTCCTCTCTGAAATCAATACAAATATATATTTTTTAAAAAGGTTATCTGTGTGTTAAATTAAATTTGCTAATATTACCTCAACATTCCTGGAAAGCATTTGCACTCCACGTTTGTCCGTGTGTCTCAATTCTGAGATAATTACTATTTGTAGCTGCCAGTATCGAGACTAAGGCAACAGGCACTTGAGGCAACAGGCATTTAAGGAATGCACTCCCCATGTGTTCTTTAGATTTCCTAAACTCCATCCCAAATCTTGTAGAATTACTATAATATAATATACCTGAACTGTTTATCTTAGTTACATCAAGAAATTTTCACTCATCCACTGTTATACAAAAAGGCATGTAGTTATTAGAGATTCATTATTTAATGCATGAAGAATTTCTTTCTTTCTTTCTTTTTTCTTTTTTTTTTAAACTTTTTCATTGAGGACTTTTTTTCCTATTCATTGAATTTGCAGAGGATCCAGGTAGCAAATCCCTTAGGGACTCATTGCCAGGAATTTACTGGGGGGAAAAACTGGTAAGATCTCTTTCCAGGAAGCATCTATAGCTTAATATAATATTTAAGGCTGAATCTCCCTTATCAAAGATTTCTAGTACAACTTTCTTCTTTCCCCATAGCTTTGAGTCACTTCTCATTTCCTTTTAGCTCAATTTTTTTGGTGCATTTCCTCACTATAAGCCACCTGAACCATTGAAACAAATGGCGCATAAATTATAATCATTTATCACTGACTTTTACTACTGAAAATAACTTTGTTTTTTTAACCAATTTTTATCTTAAGTTTTCTGTAGTAATTCTCCCTCCACAAAAAAATTTAAGAGGATTTTCCTGCCTCTTCCATTAACACAGTGGTTCTCAACCTTCTGGCCCTTTAAACACAGTTCCTTATGTTGTGACCCAACCATAAAATTATTTACGTTGCTACTTCATAACTGTAATGTTGCTACTGTTATGAACCGTAATGTAAATATCTGATATGCAGGATGGTCTTAGGCGACCCCTGTGAAAGGGTCGTTCGACCGCCAAAGGGGTCGCGACCTACAGGTTGAGAACCGCTGCATTTAACATCTTCATTTGTAATCATGTGATGATCCAGAGTCTGAGAGTCTCTATTTACCATCCAGAGGACATGGTTACTCTCTGTATAGAGAATGAAGAGTTAGCTTATTTCATTTTCTTTGAACTTTTTACTGTTTGGGATACCCTGTTATTGTATGTGTACTCATGAAAAAATCTCATTTGAGTTTTTACTTTTGTTGATCTAGGTTTGTTATCATTGGATTTTCAAGATGAGACTTGGTATCTGGGTCTTACCACTAACCCTTCTTTTGTTCCAGGGTTTGTTTAATAAAAACACTAAGAACTGAGCCAAATGGGATCAAAATACCAGCTTTATTAAAGGTAAAGTTGGATTAGAGATTGCAGGTTGGGCTTGAGGCCAAAATGGGGAATTGAAGTATTTTAACCCACATTGCTCACTCCTGGGGAATGCAGCAGGAGTTTCCGTTCCCCTTCCTCTGAAGAAAAGAAAAAGGAGGAAATGTACTCCCAGAAGTTCTCATTTTTCATCTGACAAAAGTGTTGAGAGAAAAAAATATGGTATATCATGCCATCCCTGACACACTCCAGCAATAAAATACACAAACATGGAATTTTATAAACACACTCCAAAGCCATTATGAACTTTAAAATCATCTTAAGATGATTTGTTTTTAAAAAGAAAAAAAGAAGACAGTGGAGAAAACCTTAACACTTTGGTTACGTGATTGATTAGATACTTTAGTTTGTAAGAAACATAATCTACTGGGACCAAAAGTGAATTAATTAAAGTGATTCTAGACTGGATAGAAGAGTTGTAAAAAAAACAACCCAAAAACCCATATCTTTGGAAGAACAAGGACCAGGAGCCTCGGATCTCCGAAGCAGGAACTCATCAACACTCACCTGCAGTGCTTTCATCAAATGCTTCAGCTCTACATGCCTTGTTTATTTCAGTGTCCCTGGTCAAGTTTCAGATTTTCTGGAGAGAAGGTCCAATTGTTTCAGGTTGGGACATCTACTTATCCCTAGACCATAATCATTCTGCGTAAGAGACATATAAGTATTATGATTGTTCTAGCCCCTGTTGTGAGGGGAGCAGAGCAGGGTAGAAGAAGGAGGGAGAAACTGAGCATATCAAAGAATAGCAACCATCCACTCATTTATTCAGCCTCCCGTGTGCCTTGTTCTAAATGGTAAGGATACAGTAATGAAGAAGATAAAGTTTTTACTCTCATGAAGTTTACAATCGACCTTATAGAACTATAAGAGCACAAGAAAGATATACAAGATGGGACAAAATTAGGTTTACAGTTCTATGTGAAATAGTTTATTCTTGTATTAGTGAATTATTGTATGATTTTCCATACAAATAACTGTACACCTACTTTTGCTTCACCCTGTACAATCCAGATGGAGGTTTTAGAGATGTTTCATGAAGGTTTTGATAGTTTAGTTTCAATTTAAAAACTGAATAAGAATTAGCCATGGTTTTTAGATTTCATCATTACTTTTAAGAAAGTTTTATAAAGCTCTGTAAAACATTATGAACATTTAAAAAATACAGTTTTATATTAGGAAGTTCAATTTCTGATAGTTATTCATGGTCAGTAAAGGAATGTATTGACCCCTTTCCATCATGAACAATTGCTGATCATTTCAGTTTTGCTGTACACGTTTGTATGACCCAAACCGCCAGTGAGACCACTAGTGTTGATCTTGGAGGACTTCCTATTTTTCCTGGAACTTCTTATTTTCTTGGTTCCATCCTTTCCACTTTATACATATTTAGAGAAATATAAATATTTGGGCAGATGTATACTTAAGAGGTGAAACAGAACAGTTTTACAATCTAGAGAGACATGTATCTATAATTTAAAACTTGTGTTTACAAGCAGATACATACTTATTAGTGAAAACAGTCCATACATATTAACCTCATGTAGGTCTGCCTTTATTTCTCCACATTAAAAATTCCTACTTTATGCTTTGGTAGTAGTATCATGTGCTTTCCAAGGTTTTCATTTCTTTTTTCTTCCTTCAAAACCAGGTTACTCTTTGTCTTATTTTTCTTTGTCAGAATTGTGTGTTAAGAGTCAGTAAAACACTCATATCTATCATTAAGTGTGCAGATTATAAATGTAATGGATATTTTGGCTCAGAGAACTGGTGGGTTTAATTTTTGATTGAGGATGCCAGAAATCTGACTAGTACATGTAAATGAAAATTGATTCATTATTTCATAGAAATATTCTTGATTTTATAAACAGATATACTTCCAATTTTCTTTAAATAAGGAATGTCATATTTTTACCTAAGTTTTAGAGACAGTCCTAGAATTAGAGCTGGCAGTAGATCTCCTTGAAACAGTATTTTCAAGTTGTGGTTGTTACCCACTATTAAGTCATGAAAGCAGTATAGTCAGGCACATGTAGTATTTCCCTGTTGTGTTTTGTGAAAGAAATGGAATGTTATCCAAAGTAGCATGTATGGCTCCTAGGAAGGGTATTGTTTCATGCAGTTTTTGTTTTAGTTATATTTATGTGTGTATTGTGTATCTCTGTACTAGATTGCAGCATCGGATTATTTCTTACAAGAGGTTACAGTAATAAAAAGTTTGAGGAAAACTGCCCTAGATAATATCTTGTCTGGTCTAGAACTTTGTTAAGTAAGGAAATTATACTACAAAGAGGAGAAGGTGGAGTTAATTGCCCCATCTAGACTAGAACCAAACAAGTTAAAGTGTGAGTATAAAGATCACTTGGGTAGGAATCAGAACATTTAGATTTGAATCTTCTCATTAGTTACTAAATTGTTACTTTGAACAGGTCATATATTATCCTTCAGCATTTCCTTTTGAGCTTAAAAAAAAGGTAGAGAGATGAGGGAAATAGGTACGCCTAATCTGTCTCACAAAATTATTAAATATATGTTGTTGAGATTATGCATGTGAAGTACTTTATAAATATTGTTATCTATAATAATAAAAGCATAGTATGCTAATTAGACAGGACAGCCAAACAACCTTCCAGATGTCATTCCGGACGTCCTTCTGAACCAAGCTGTGGGGGCCGAGGCAGAGGATTTTAGGGGCAATCAGGCAGGCAGGCAGAGGGGTTAGGAGTGATCAGGGAGGCAGGCGAGCAGTTAGGAGCCAGCGGTCCTGGATTGGGAGAGGGATGTCCAACTGCCGGTTTAGGCCTGATTCGGCAGGGTGATTGGGGCTCCGGCGCTGCCCGCATCCACTACCACCCACCCCCAGTTCCCCGTTCCCCATTGGTTGATCGGGGCCTGTGGGCTGAGGGCAGCTCCTGCGTTGAGCACCTGACCCTATGTTCAGTGCGTGTCATAGCCAACTGGTCATTCCGCTGTCCAGTCAATTTGCATATTATGCTTTTATATATAGACTAAAGGCCCTGTGCACGAAATCTCCCCTACCAGCCTGATTGATGCTTAACTGCTCCCCTGCCAGCCCAATTGCCTCCTACTTCCCTCCCCTGCTGACCTGGTCAATCCCAGCTGCCCTCCCTTGCAGGCCTGGTCGCCCCCATCTGCCTTCCCCTGCCGACCATCTTGTGACAACATGGAGACAGCCATGTTGTGATGATCTGGGGGCAGCCATCTGTTGATGACGCAAGGGCATGAGGGTCAATTTGCATATTACCTCTATTATATATGATACTTAATTTTACTGTTATTGGAATCATGCTAGTTTATTGCTAAGCATATGAAAAACATTTTAAGTTTTTGAATCAAATACGGGAACAAATATTTTAATGCAGCATTAGAAATTCAGCTATCAAATAAACAAGGTAGGTGTGATTATAACTGTTTCTTAGTCTTAAAGACTTTTTAATTTTGAGAGCCTTATTTACTTATCTCTATGTGTGTGTCTGTGTGTATTTCTTTTGAAAGGAATTGGTCCAGATGGTCATATTGCTTTCAATGAGCCAGGATCCAGTTTAGTATCAAGGACAAGATTAAAGACCCTAGCAATGGACACCATATTGGCAAATGCTAAATATTTTGATGGAGATTTATCAAAGGTGCCAACTATGGCTCTAACAGTTGGTGTGGGGACAGTGATGGATGCTAGAGAAGTAAGAATTAAATGTTCTTTAATGTTTTTTTCTTTGATATCAATAGATACTGAAGGGATTATGGTGCCAAATTAGTGATACTTTGGTTGCATTCTGTCCACATTTTTATTGTTACCTAGCATTCAATAACTTCTGTCAGTCTCATTGCCATATTTAGAATTCAACTAAATTTTTTTCCTTTTTATTGAATTTATGGGGGTGACACTGGTTAACAAAATTAAACAGGTTTCAGGTGCACAATTCTACAACACATCATCTATACACTGCACTGTGTATTCACCACCCCCAGTCCAGTCTCCTTCCATCCCCATTTATCCTCCCTCTACCCTCTTCCATCTTTCCTACCCTCCTTCCCCCCTGGCAGTCACTACACTGTTATTCATGCCCATGAGTATTTTTCTCTTGTTTGGCTCTATCCCTCCACCCTTCCTACTCAATTCCCTCCCCAGCATCCCCCGCCTCCAACAGCTGTCAGCCTCTCTTATCTATGAGTTTGTCTGTAACTTGTTTTTTCAGTTCATTAGATTCCACATATGAGTGAAATCACATGGTACTTGTCTTTCTCTGACTTTAAACCTGGTTTTCTTTCAAGACACCTTTAGATAGCACACATACAATGAAACAGTCTTCAGGCTTCTTGCTCTAGATTAGTTTTTCAAAGTAATATTTATTGCTTATCTGGACTAGAACAATTTGGTATATCATTCCTGGTTATATCAATTCTTCGTTGACCTGTAATTCTGCTTTTGTAAAACAGCCCTTTTGTTTTCTCCCAGATTTTCTGCACGTCAGCCTTATATGTTCATCAGAATTTAATATTAATAATCATAGGCATTAAGATATATTCAATAATATTTTATAACAAGATGTTATTTTACCAGGGGATATACTTTGTGCTTGCCTGTTACTTTATAGAAGTACCTTGTACTATGAAGAAATATGGAGCTGATTATTTTTATTTTATCCTCCGAAGAATATTGGTGCTAAAGTCTTTGTTTAAAAGGAAAAATAGAGCCTCTCAGTCATGTGGGATATTTTAAGAATTAACAGTAATGTTCATGATTTTTCAGGTCATGATCCTCATAACAGGCGCCCACAAGGCATTTGCTCTCTACAAAGCGATAGAGGAAGGAGTCAATCACATGTGGACTGTTTCAGCTTTCCAGCAGCATCCCCGAACTATTTTTGTGTGTGATGAAGATGCTACCTTAGAATTAAGAGTTAAAACTGTGAAATACTTTAAAGGTGAGCATTTACATTTTAAAAGCAGAATGTGAGAATGTTCTGTTGTAGATGACTGTTGAAATTTAATGTGATTGTAGAGTTACACTGTGGCCTATTAAAAACTGGCATGTGCTGACCCAGTAGGCAGTTCTTCAAGGAATAGAAATGATATTCAAAGAATATCTCACGTCATGTAATAGCTTTCAGATAGTTTATTTTTTTCTATGAAGAGAATCTCTTCAATCTGTATTTTCAATAAGTAAGATTTTTCTTAAAGTCCAAAATTTAATAAAAATGTTACTTTCATACTGAATATACAAAATTAAATCAAACAAAGGAAATATGTGTGCTTTCTGATTTTTATTTATCTGTCTCACCTCCCTCCCCTGGCTATGTTTATAATCTAATCAGCAAGTAAGATGGGTTGCTTACTATCTCATTTAATTTTTACAATTTCAAACAAATTACTCTTTCATATTGAAGTTATAATGGTTCAGTATTAAACAGCATGGCATAAACTCCACAAGTTAGCAGGAGCTTGATTGCTCAGACTTCTGCATGTGTATTTTCCTCGTTTCTTCCTGCAGTCTCGTTCAGGATTTCTTCAACCTTACCATGCCAGGTTATATTTATAAACGCACATATGCTTGATGTAATAATTATAGAGATTTTCCAGGGAAATTTTGAGTACATTCAGTTTAGAAGCCATTCCCTGCTTTTCCAACTCCATATATAAATACACACACATAAAAAAGCTCTATAAATAGGTACTCTTTTTTTTTAAAATTGATTTCAGAGATGAAGGGAAAGGGAGAGAGAGAAACATCAATGATAAGCAAGAATCATTGATCGGCTGTCTCCTGTATACCCCTTATTGGGGATCAAGCTCACAACTGGGGCATGTGCCCTGGATGACTTTTCCAACTCCATATATAAATACACACACATAAAAAAGCTCTATAAATAGGTACTCTTTTTTTTTAAAATTGATTTCAGAGATGAAGGGAAAGGGAGAGAGAGAAACATCAATGATAAGCAAGAATCATTGATCGGCTGTCTCCTGTATACCCCTTATTGGGGATCAAGCTCACAACTGGGGCATGTGCCCTGGACAAGAATCGAACCTGAGACCCTTCAGTCCACAAGCTGACGCTCTATCCACTGAGCCAAACGAGCTAGGGATAAATAGGTACTCTTTATAAAGCAGCTATATTTATATAGCTGATACAAAAATATTATGTAATTGGTCATACATGTAGGTGAATTATCCATAAAGTATGTGAATATAAACTTTATATTTTTACTCTAGTAACTGTGTTTATTTAACATGTATTAAAAAATTTATACTGCACCAATCGAACCAGTATTTCATGGATATCAAGGTTAAAGAAGTTACCATATTTTACTGCTTCCTAGACACACTTTTTCACTTTTATCTTGTCCATAATTGGAATGTATTTAAAATTGGTATCATATTACAGTTTATCTAGTAGCATTATTTTTCTTAGTGGTACATAAAATAATTGTAACAATCTAATAGTTCAGCATTTCATATTCATGAAATATAATGAATTAACTTAAAAGTTTTTAAGTCAATTTAAAGGAAACTCATAACTTACAGTTCATGTAAATGTCTGAATATGTCAAAAATCTGGAAGGTGGCACAAATAAAAGTTTGGCAAACAGTTAAAATAGTCTAGTTTTTAAAACTAAAGTTTGATCATGTGGATATAGTTTTGTAATTTGCACTTATATGTTGTGAAAGTTTTCCTATTTTACTAAAAATTCTTCAGAAGTATTTCTAATCTATATATATAAAAGACTAATATGAAAATTATCTGCTCGGGAATTCAGCCAGGAGAGCAGGAGTTTGGTCGCTCACTATGATGTGTGCTGACGACCAGGGGGCGGTGCAGAACATGTTGGGCAACCAGCAGTGGCAGCAGGGCGCTGAGGGAGCCAGGGAAGGAGGAGGTAGGGATGCCAGGCCTAGGGACCCTACCCTGCACTAATTTCATGCACCAGGCCTCCAGTGGCTGTATAATAGTCAAGTAGACATGTCATAATTTACTTAATTATTTCCTTAGTGTGAAACACTTAGATTATTTCCAGTCATTTATTTTTTTTATCAGGTAAATTATTAGTTTTTTTTTTACCAAGCTATAAGTATATCAAATAAACTGAAAAATTGTTAGCTTCTTAGTAATCCTATATAATAAAAGGCTAATATGCAAATTATCCCCTTGGGATTTCTAATAAAAGGCTAATGTGCAAATTATCCCCTTGGGATTTTGACCAATCAGGAGTTCAGCCGCTCGCTATGATGTGTGCTGACCACCAGAGGGCAGCGCAGAACAACAGAAGGCCCCAGCCGGTAGGTGGCAGCCAGGGAAAGGAAGGCCCCGATCGGCCCTGATCGCTGGCCAGGCCTAGGGACCCTACCCGTGCACAAAGTTCATGTACCGAGCCTCTAGTTTGACAAATAAAAGCAGAGAATATCTGTGATGAGTTGTAAATAAGACTGAGCTCTTGGATAGAGTCACCATATAGTTCCATGTGATCCTTCAGATTTCATCACAAATGTCAGATTACTTGAAAAAGTTAGTAATAGATTATCCACAGATTTTAATGACAGTTTTACGGAGATTCATTTAACATTGCCATTTTTCTAGCACGAGAAATCCCCAGATAAACCCCTTTACTTCTCTGGTTTTGTCAATTTGGTTATCAGAAAGTTTTTACATTTTAGTGAAGTATTTAATAACAGCCATACCTAGATGACCAGGTGCTATTCTAGTCACATTACACTTAATTGATTTATCTCTCACAATTCTGCGAAGTGGGTACTCGTTAAATCACTTACCAAGGCACACAGCTCATATGTGGGTGAGCTGGGTAACTGAAATCAGACTTATCTGCAGTCTAGGCTTCAGTCCACTGTTACAGTGCCTTAAGAAGAGTAAGCTCTGGCTATGGAATGGTCTAAATTATATTGCTTCCAAAAGGTATAGACATATGTGAAAGATAATTTAAAACAGAAGTACATGATTGTATGTATTTAGTTCTTTCAGTTCACTATCCAGATTCTAAGCTTTTCTGAAACATACTGAAGTGTACAACTGTTGATGAGAAAATTGCCGCCTTGCCTCTTTGAGGACACTCTTATTTCCCCTTGGAGCTGTACATAGCTGAAGAGGTTCAGGATATCAGCTCTGTCAGGATGCCTCCTCAATATGGAGGAAAGTGGAATTGAGATACTTTTATGGGCTGTATATAGACCTCGTCTTACAATAGGTGTTTTGATGTAGGGTAGAATAATTGTTATTCATGAACGTAGACATATAATAACTGTAATTTATATTTGCCTTATCCTCATTGACTTATTGTATCACTTTAATATATACTGGAGGGTATGAATCCTACAGTTATCTCTAATTCTTCAAATTGCATTCACATCACTACCCTTTCTTCTGCCATCACCAGGAATCTTAAAGGGTTTTGATTATTTAGCTCCTGAAGAAAATGTACATTAATACATTTAAATAGTAAGAATCATCAGTAAAGTTTATTTTAATATATACCTTTTGAAAGATAAAAGTATATCACAGGAAAACAGTTTAGTGCTTAATTTATTTTTACTTTTTAAAATAATGTTTTATGTGCTTGAGGTAACATTTTTAAGACATTATCATGAACTTTTTTTGTTCCATCTTGATTTTACATTTAAAAAAGCTAATTATCACCATCTCACTAAACCTTCAGAATTTTTCTTTTTTATTATTTTTTAAAATATATTTTTGCCAAAACCAGTTTGGCTCAGTGGATAGAGCGTCGGCCTGTGGACTGAAGGGTCCCAGGTTCGATTCCGGTCGGAGGCATGTACCTGGGTTGCGGGCATATCCCCAGTAGGAGATGTGCAGGAGGCAGCTGATCGATGTTTCTCTCTCATCGATGTTTCTAACTCTCTATCTCTCTCCCTTCCTCTCTGCAAAAAATCAATAAAATATATTTAAAATATATATATATTTTTATTGATTTCAGAGAGGAAGGGAAGAGAGAAAGCATCAGTGATGAGAGAGAATCATTGATCGGCTGCCTCCTGCATGATCCATACTCGGCATTAAGCCCACAGCCCAGGCATTGAACTGGTTCATAGGTCGATGTTCAACCACTGAGCCACGCCAGCTGAGCATATTTTTTTAAAAATATATTTTATTGTTTTTTTTACAGAGAGGAAGGGAGATAGATACTTAGAAACATCAATGAGAGAGAAACATCGATCAGCTGCCTCCTGCACATCCCCTACTGGGGATGTGCCCCCAACCAAGGTACATGCCCCTGACCGAAATAGAACCTGGGACCCTTCAGTCCGCAGGCTGACTCTCTATCCACTGAGCTAAACCGGCTAGGGCCTGAGCATATTTCTTATTATTTTTTTTAAAGAGCAGTTTACTGATTTTGATTTTTCGATAGGAAAGGGGAGGGAGAAATATCCATGTAAGAGCATAACATCAATTTTTGGCTGCCTCCTATTTGCCGTCTACTGGAGATTGAGCCCACAACCTAGGCATGTGCCCTGACTGGGAATGGAATCCACAATGTTTTGCTGCACAGAAAGATGCCCAACTGAGCCACTCCTGCTAGGGCCTTCATAGACTTTTAAAAGTAAATGTTTATTATACTTTTCACTATGTGCAATGACCTTTATAGGCCCAGGACTTAAAGCAGTGAATATATGGTCCTGGACCTAGTTTCTAGTTGGAAATATGGTAGAAAATCCTATTTTCTAAGAACGAAAACTGCCTTTAAGAAAGTGAAGTGACATGAATATTTTAAGTTGACCTTTAGGCTAAGACCTAATAAACAAAAGGGAGACAGTCATACTTCACTTAAGGAGAAGAGCATTCTAGGCTGAATCAGGTATACAAATCTTGCACTAGAACCAAGTTTAGCTTTTCTAGGGTAACAGCAAGAAATCTAGGGATGAGTACAGCATAAAAGTAGGAAAATGAGAGGACATGAGGTCAGATGGCTAAAGACAACAGAATAAAATCTAATTTATTTTGCAAGTGGTCAGAGCAATTGGAGAATTTTAAATAGGGAAATGGTATAATCCAGTTTCTGTTTTAAAAAGGCTAGGTTGCCTACTGTGCAGAAACTATTATGGGATGGGGTAAATGAGTCAAAGTAGGGAATTGTAAGTAACTGATTTAGATTTGAAGAGTGGCTTCAACTAGGGTAGTAGTGGGGAGATGAACTGTGGTTAATCTATACTAATAAAAGGGTAATATGCTAATTAGACAGGATGTCCTTCCAGACAAAGCCATGGTGGTGGGGTGCCGAGGTCGAGGTGGTTAGGGGCAATCAGGCCAGCAGGAGAGAGCAGTTAGGGGCGATCAGGCTGTCAGGGGAGGGCAGTTAGGGATGATCAGGTTGGCAGGGGAGGGCAGTTAGGGGCCATCAGGCCAGCAAGGGGTGGGGGCAGTTAGGGGCTATCAGACTGGCCGGGGAACAGTTAGGGGGTGATCAGGCCAGCAGGGTAGCAGTTAAGGGGTGATCAGCCCGGTAGGCAGAGGCAGTTAGGGGTAATCAGGTTGGCAGGGGAATACTTAGGGGCACCAGGCCAGCAGGCAGAGGTGGTTAGGAGCGATCAGGCAGACAGGCAAGCAGTTAGGAGCCAGCGGTCCCAGATTGCGAGAGGGATGTCTGAGGGGTCCTGGATTAGAGAGGGTGCAGGCTTGGCTGAGGGACCACCCCCCTCCTGCACAAATGTCATGCACCCGGCTTCTAGCCTATTATATAAAAGCCCAGTGACCATAACAGTGGAATGACCAGAATGACTGGTTGCTCTGATGCACACCAGGGGGTCGATGCTCAATGCAGGAGCTGCCCTCTGGTGGTCAGTGTGCTCCCACAGTGGGAGCACCACTCAGCCAGAACCCAGGCTCACAGCTGGCGAGCACAGCAGCCATGGCAGGAGCCTCTCCTGCCTCCAAGGCAGCACCAAGGAGCGGCGAGCCAAGCGGTAAGGAGTGAGCAGGCGGCTGGTTAGGAGCAACGGGTCCCGGATTGCAGGATGGCACAGGCCGGGCTGAGGGACCCTCCCACCCCCTACATGAATTTTGTACATCGGGCCTCTAGTTGGGGATCTATTTTGAAAGTAGAGACAGCCCCTCACTTTGACTTTACAATGGTGCAAGAAGAGTGATATGCATTCAGGAGAAACTGTACCTTGAGTTCTGATCTTGTTCTGGGCTACTTATACTCAGTAAAATACTCTTGTGATGTAGGGCAGCCAAGTCTGCCATGTGATCATGAGGGTAAGCAACCCATCCTCTGGGGTAGTTTAAGTGCATTTTCAATTTAAAATATTTTCAACTTACGAGTTTAATGAGGAGTAATGTCATCATAAGTCAAGGAGCATATGTAGTGCAAACTGGTCTTGCTGAATTTAAAAAGGACAAGAGAAAAACTAGATTGTAGTGGTCTGGCTTTAGCAGCTCATTGAAATATAACACCAAATATCGAGACTTGCAAAGAAATGGTTTGGAAGGGAACAAATGGGTCTGGACCTTGTTAAATTTAATCTGCTGATTAGACACTGAAGTAGGCTGTTGAGCAGTTAGCAGTCTGTCATCTTGAGATGAACTAATGAGTTTTCTGTCTTCTCTCCTTTTAAGAGTCTTCGCTTCTGGTTTTTCTCCTACTACACGAACACTTCAGTGTTTTTTGCATGTTCCTGTCTTTGCTTATTTCTTAAAAGCAGGTCATCCTCACCGTTTACACTTTAGAGTGCTTTTGCAGCTTTTCGAACAAGGACCATCTACTTACTAACCAAGTAGTACCCTGTCTCCCCAATCCAATAATACCATTTCCTGAGGAAACTGCATTGAGACCCTTTCCCCAGCCTTTCTTCTTAATTGAAAAATTTAATTCATTTCTTTAACTTCCAAAATATAAAATCTTTACTTCACTAATTGGGACAATTTTTTTTGTTTCCCCCAAAGATATACAGTATGTGTGTATTAAGACATTAATAACTGGGAGGTATTTCTCAAGAAGCTTTAAGAAGAATAATTTACAAGCACACCAATTTAAGATGAAATTTAAACCTACTTGGAAATTAGTATTTAATATAGGTTCTCTTCTGTATTATTTTAGTTAACGCTCCTTGGTGTTGGTTGTAATCAACTCCTATTGTAAATATACATGTCAAAACAGTGGAAATTTGCCAGATTAATGGATAAACAGTATTCTACTGAGGAATTAAAGCTGCCTTAGGAAACAGTTCTGAGCCCTTCATTGGAGTCTGGTAAAGGAAATGAGCAAGGATTGAACTCAGAACTTACATGTATTAACCAAGTCAGTATTAAAATCTGTCATTTTGTCATACCGAAGCTCTGAACAGATGAACTGCTGCTACTTCTGGTTACTCCAAAAGAACTTGTACAAACTCTAGTTCTAGATTCATAAATATTATAAATTGGTATTTAGTAGGTAGTTAAAACTAAACATTTTGAAATGTCTCTATTTGTATATCAGATGGAAACTTATATACTTATAAAATATTTTGTTTTCTAATGTATAGCTCAAAATTTAAAAAATTAGAGCTGTGCTTTTTTCTTTAAGGTTTAATGCACGTGCACAATAAACTTGTGGATCCACTGTACAGTATGAAAGAAGGAACTGAAGGAGACTGGAGCAAAATTCTGCTTGAATGAACAGAACTTCTATAACATGAATTTGCAGCTATGCAATATTATAAAACACGGGAATTTTTGAAGATTGTCACTTCTGAAGTCCAGTATCTATGTTAAACATTCCATATTTAGAATGTATTTTATACTAGGGTTAGAAGTAGTTGGGTCATAATCAGCTATTTATTTGAAACCACATAGCCGCTCTATAAAACAGCACAGAAATGAAATGACTGTTTAAACATTTAAAAAGTCTTTAAAAGAATATTTTTATTGATTTCAGAGAGGAAGGGACAGAGAGAGAGGTAAAAACATCAATGATGAGAGAGAATCATTGATTGGCTGCCTCTTGCAGGTTCCACACTGGGGATCAAGTCTGAAACCCAGGCATGTGCTCTGACCTGGAATCAAACCGTGAATTCCTGGTTCATAGGTTGACACTCAACCACTGAGCCACGCCCGCTAGCCTAAAAAGTCTTTTTTTTATTTTTTATTTTATTGATTTTTCACAGAGAGGAGGGAGAGGGATAGAGAGTTAGAAACATCGATGAGAGAAACATCGATCAGCTGCCTCCTGCACACTCCCCACTGGGGATGTGCCCGCAACCAAGGTACATGCCCTTGACCGGAATCGAACCTGGGACCCTTCAGTCCGCAGGCCAACGCTCCATCCACTGAGCCAAACCAGTCTTGGCACCAAATTATTATTTCTTGTTTGTCTCTTTCATTTGCTTGCGGCCCTCTTCCAGATCCTGAACCCTGAACCACGCAGGACGTGGGGGGAAATTTTACACAACTAGTTCCCACAATAAAAGAAATCTAAGCTTTAATCCACTTCTCCCACATGTAATATGTTGTAGTATTTCATATCTGCAAAGAAAAGTTTAAAACCATAAAAACAAAATATGTTTGCTCAC